AAGACATATATTTTGATTTGCGACCCCCTTTGGAGGAACAGAACATCCCGAAACGCAAACCGTTAAAAAACGTTTGCTAAAATATTTCGGTTCTTAGTTAAATAAGCATGCAGTAACATGAGCAGTCAAGTTTACCATCGTTATATTCCCCTTAGACAATTTGAAGCAAACTACTGCCGTAATTCAGGTGAAATATCGCATAAAAATCAGCTGCCATTCCAAATGAACAATCTGGGTCTTTATGCTTCATCGATTAGCAGCCACATCTATGTTATCCAGTTCCTAACTTTATGCTGTGATTCACTTACCGTCTCTAAACATCTTAGCTGCTAAATCCGTCATCACGTACTCCTCTAACACAGAGCCTACAGGTATTCAAGCGTCTGCTCATCAAGGTTATCCGAACTGATGCCCTAAATTTCTCTAAATCTCTGTCCTGAGACTTCTTGCAAATGGCACACAGAAACTATCGCTGCATAGCATCACCATTGTAATTAGATGATTTTGGAACTAACAGTGGTGCAGAGACTGGGCCATGTTAATTCAGGAACGCTAAGGATGCAATCAATTATGGATTCCATTTCTCATGGCAACAGACGGTACTTGTAACAGAATTATAAACAATGTATTCCTTCACAGCACGCGCGATGAGGCACAGAAACATGAGCCCTGGTATTACGAGCAACTAAGCGTTTTGTGCAAAAAATCGACCTGAATTTTAAACAAACAGCCGAATTTGTTGGCCTTGGGCTGATCGATGTTGTTCTCCTTTCGCTACCTTCGCCTTCTGGCCGATGTCTTTGAATGGAGGCGGCCCCCTATATTGAGTGGCGTCACCCCAATGGGGGTCGGTTGCGCCATTTTTCCCCTTTGTTCTTGGTAGGCAAAAGAGTAGACAGTGTAAAAGATGTGGCGCAAGTCTACTACAACTGTAGGCTAACGTACGCGTAAGTCACCGTCCTGCGTCCACCAAGTTTTTGGGCACACAGTGGACATCGTCGTATGCGAAGTCCGAACTGGCGGTTTCCAGGTCATACACGCATACGACAGTTATACCGTCGTTGCCGACGATGTCTACCGTGTCCTACGCGGCAGGGCGCCAGTGCATGGCACGATGAAGCTCTAACCTTGGCGGTCCAATCCACACCCCTTGATCCACACAGCAAATGACCAGGTTTTAGACCAACAACAAACACAGCATTGGGGGACGTCAGGGGTTCCAGTGCGCGCGACGTTTACCGGCAGCCGGGTCTGCCGTCGTACTTCGAAATGCGAGCATTTGTCATGGTGCACAATCCGATACCTCCTGCCAGAATCCGATATGGCCTCCTTAATAATCCAGCGGATCTACATTGTGGCCCGTTTGGGGCCACAATACACATAAACACACATACATTTAGCTGGTCCTGAGAGGTGACTCCAAAATTAGGTTTTATGCAGCAGAGTGCGTGAACACATATACGGGCCGGGAAGATTTCATTGACCACAGTGTACACATAGGCAAAGATTTTACCCTACTCTACTATCCCCTAGAAACGTTGGCGGCGGCCACTGCTAATTAAATGGCGGTCCCACACGAATCCCCGGGAATAAAATTAACCGACTGCTGAAATTATGGTCATTATTAAAAATGTCACTTTATGCAAATCGACCAGGCACTGGGTAGTCGTCAGATGCGTCCCTTGCTTCGGAACTGATAACGCTTTGCATCGTTACTGTCTGGTCAAAGTTGCTTGCAGAAACCAAGGATTTTAGCGAAGGCTTATCATAGAAGATAGAACCTCAGGAAGGGAGAAATCTAAGCAGCGGTAATCAAAAAATCCAACCAAAGCTCCTCGGTTATCCAACCGAGACCACAGACAAGGCGAAGCCTATTGTAGTAAGCAGGACAAAAGAACCATAACTGATCACAAAATGGGACGTTTATGCGCCGGAATAAATCAGTATATTTTAGGCCTATAGGATTCGCTCTGAGCTTCTAGACCTAGAATATACTAATCAACTCCAAGTGCGCAGTTAATTTCTGGGAAATGAAAAAGCAACACACTGTAAATTGGAGCATCTACCGGAGAGCAGACGGGGAATGCTGGGAGACTCACTGATGAGTCGAATCCCTTGCAGATGTGTCCTGCAGCGGCAGAATATCGGCGAAACAGGCGTGTATGGGCTGTTGGCTAATAACCTGTGCTGTTAAGATGGTATCCCTTTACCCTAGGGTTTATTAATATTACACGACCATTCCGCTGTGGCTGATAAACGTCAATGCACACATCGCTATTAAATTTCCATCTAAGCCCATAGGTCTTCTCCAAGTTGGCGATTAATTTCTGATGAAATCAGAGAGCCGCACGGGTTACCGGACTTCTTACTACGGGGAATCTCAGCATAAATAGGTCCGACAATGGTTAGTGTAAAAACCTTTTCCCCACTGATATATAAAGGCTTTTACCTTGGCAAATCACAGATTATTAAAGGACGCTATGCATATATTTCTATCATAAAGCGCCACCCAGAGGATTAACTGCGTTTTAAGTAACTAAATATCTTGTAGGCATTTTCAAAAGGGCATGCATCAGGCGATTGTAACCTGTGCTGCTGTTTCAAAAGCCGTTTATTCTTGGGTCGCTCAGTTATATGCATTCCGATAGGCCTTTGAATTCCAGCCGAAATTTGTTTCATCTCCTTACTGCAAGCAAACTCAGTCCACAAAACATGAATTTCCATCTTTGTCTAATTAATAATTAATAACATAATCCACTGCCTACAAATAGATATTCTCTGTGAGCGGTTATCCTCTATAGTTACCTTTGTAATTTCAGATTTTGGGTCTAAGTGTGATCGTGGTTTTGGTGGTTGTATGACAAACATATAATGATTTATTTAAAATAGAAACGTGCTTTATCTTACGGCGGTTAAGTAAAAAATAACTGTCTTCCTATGCTGTCTTAATTAAGAGCCTTAGAAAAATAAATAATCGCGCGGCCACCTATGATAATCGTACTAGCGCTAAATGCCGAATTCGTCAATGCGACCTCTAAGTAACTGGTCAGAATGTTCAAAGACCTGGTTCTGATTTCCAACCAAGACAACACATGACACATAAAGACTGGATTATTTCTTCTCAGTTGTTAGGTTACCTATTCGTACATTACTACTACTTAATGCTCAAAAGCTGAGCAACTGCGAATTTCAGTTGTGTGTGAATGTCACGCAAGACCTACCTCATTCAAACATTTCCAAATCGTCGGCGTAGGAATCCTCCCAGTTTTTATGCAACCGCCTATGGCTAAACCACACCCATGTCCTCAAAAGATACATTTTCAAATGTATCACCCCTTAAAGTGAAAACGAGCGGAAGGCAGGAAACATTTATTCAAGAAGTAATAAATCCCCAGATTGGGCTGAATGATGATACTGCTATATTCTTAAGCATCAATTGGAATAGCGAACCCTATCCCAAGGACACCGAGCTAACTTGCATAGAAATTACTGATAGCCTTATCGACAGTGTTATTGTTAAGATCAACTTAAGTGTTAAGGCTAGAGTTAAAGCGGAGTTATGACTTCAGAGATGTTTTGACAAATGTTACATAATTCATAATTGTTGAACTGTTTACAAGTCGGCGCCTCGGTAGGAGCCGAACCCACAACAGCAAGGGTAAGAGCTTAGTATAGCCAACGCTCTAGCCACATGGGCTACAAGTTCTCTACAGAAAGAAGCGAGATTTATCACATTTCGGTCCATTTACCCCCCCAGCCTACTGCAACGTCTGGAATCCAAAAAATCTAATATAGTAAGTTGATTACCCAGCAGGGATTTCCTAAGTAACCACATAGAATCCAACGACTACCAAACATACGTTATTCGTGGATATTCTGGCAGATTTTTATTTATTCATATTAATGCGAAGTTAAATATAGGCGTCTCGGTGGGACCTCGTAGCCAAGGTGGGTAGGGAGTTATCTGTACTAAAGCCTTCCAATTTCTGTCGTGCGTTGGAAGCCCACCGAGGCGCCGAGTTGGGTTAATATGAATAAGGACTTCGGTTTGGATTACGATCATGTTCATGTTTTGGGGCTGAGACGGATGGTTTCCTATTTCCGTTTCTTACTGACTCAGTGACCGAGACTGTGGAGCAAATCGTCGAGCCCGTAGTCATTTCCCGACATTTGCTGCTATGTATGTTTTTCTGTCTAAAATGATCAAGTTTACACATGAAACTCAAAAAGCAGAACCTGTGGCTTTTTGCCCGCATGTATGCTTTACCGAGGATACAAAGACCTATTTATCTGCGTCGAATCGTTTGTGCGTCGTTCGGTTTTCAAGGTGATTTTTTACCAATGTTTTTGTGCGTCCAAATATCTCCTTTCATCCCCTGGTCTGCGTTTTGTGTTTTTTCTGTCCATTTGATTTCTCTGCTTTATTGAAGTCACCGCCTCTATTGTGACCTATTTTACGCACCCTCTTTTATTCACCAAATCCCTCATCCTGACCTCTGTTGAACTTACTTAATTGTTTAGTTTTCAATGCAGCATGTACATAATCGACCACAAAGTATTTAAGCAAACGCAAAAATGCACGAGTCCGAGTCCCCAACTACCAGGCAAAAAGCTACCAGTCAGATAACGGTATTAAAAGTTAAGTCTAGACGATATTTTCGCTAGTATTCTAAAAACACCAGACAGAATAGCTACTATCAAATTGCTGGCAGATGCTGAACCCCCGAGTGTCTGGACAGAGTAATGTTATGCATCAAAAAATAAAGCAGGATACAAGGACAAGTATATTTGACACTTTGTCCATTCGTGCTTTGTAAATAATCATTTAATGGAAACCATATTGAGCACTTTTATCAAATTGCAGATTTTAAGTTGAAAAGATTGATCATCGAAGGATCACAGATTGCAATTAGCGAATGTTGTACGAAAATTACTTTCGATATTAAGAGGCAAAGTTCATTCATTTCACCAGACACACAATCATGTTTGAGGCAACCGTGTCAAAGAAATTCTTTACCGAAGCCACACTTTTTCATAATCATTTTAGATTCCTCGTGAAAATGGTCGGCCTCATATGTCCACCTATTCCGGTCGGCCTCTAATCCCTTTTCAATTTTATCCACCATTTCCAAGACAACACGTTCTAGCTGAAAGTGAAGTGAATTCAGGTGTTTTTCGAGTTTTTCTATAGTAGCCGTTTTTTCGGCCAATTCCTTCTCCTTTGTAGCGATCTGGTATTCGAGCAGGGCTTTAACGGCTGAATGCTCCTTCTTCAAACGTGTGATAATTTCTCGAGATTCTCTGACACGCAAAATGAACAGGCGTTGCAGAAGCTTGTATTGCGTGTTAACACAGGACGTTGCCAGTTTCGCCTCCACCTGATTCATCTCAAGGTTTTCTCGCATTTCGGCGACCCGTCTAGAGGCTTGAATATTTTCATCGGTAAGCTTTTTCCGAACGCTATTATTCACAACTTCACGCAGTGATACGGTGTCCAGTTTTGCCTGCATCATGCCAAGTTTGTGCGTAAGTTCACGCACCAATTCTTCCGGTCGCTTCTCGGCCTTCTCCTTCTGCTTTTTTGGCGGCATTTGGGCAAGGTGGCCGGAGTATTGCTTCCAGTCAGGTCAGGCTGCGACTGAGCGGATGGTGAAATATAAACTTCAAACATCCAAAAATCGATAAGTCAGAAGCCGCCACTTTCAAAAGTCCGACCGCTATGCTAGATCGGCTACGTAGAAGCCTTCCTTGATTATCCAGCAGCGCACATCCTCTCTGTAAGTTAGTCAACCTGGAATAATTCGGAAGCTGAGGAGCATATGAAGTGTCACACTTGAGATCATGGTGAAACAGTGTTTTTATTTAACGAACAATGGAAGTATTATAAAAATGGAGTTTCATGTACTCAATATGTTGCAGAAAAATGGGTTACACCCCAGTGAGCCGGATTTCAAGCTCACATATTGAGGACTTTAAAGAAAAGAGACGCCAAAATTAAAGACATTAGTTTGCTGACTAGATGTTTTTCGTTACCACCATAGTAAAGAACATCCGTTCCGCGGACCCGACTTCTTCTTGTAAATGAATCCGCATTTGTCCTATGAGTAATAATGCGACAAGATCTTATTGCGTTGCGGTATCTGTTAGGAGTAGGGGTTGGGGCCAGGGTTAGCGGTTAAGGTTAGAGCTTTGCGTAAGGGACGTAAGCCGGCATGCCGATAAGATCTGCAGTTGTGCTTTTCTAATGCTTAACTATGTCCGCAACGTCATCTCTGAAGGTATTCCGTATTGGCGTACTACTGAGTTTCCGCGCAGATACAACAGAAACATACTCTTCTTAATCACATAAAATAAAATATAACCCTGCTGACATTTTCTACCGACTTGGTGCGAGATTGTCGAAAATGTACGTGTGCTCGCCAAGATTTCTCCTGAAATCGTCGACAATAATGTTTCTGATCTCGTCAAATCGGTGATTTTGAGCAAATTTCAAAAACGTCAGCGTAATTCCTATGGAAAATAACCTGACGGCCAAAACACTTGTTAATATAAACTAATGGGCTTCAGGAAGTAGCCTGACACTTAGGCTGCCAATTTTCACATTTGTCAAGAGAACATTGGAACGGGAAGAATTTGCTTTATTTTGAGATTACAAGTTTAAATTTTTTAGAAAAATTTGGCTCTGGATAGGAAAATTGAAAAATGAACTTAAAAATCAAAACATTTACACAAAAAGCAACTACCAATTTGGGTACAGTTTGAGCCTTAACTTCTGTATTTCAGACTCTTCACAGGCATGATAGCACGCCAGGAATGCCAAAACTGACTGTTGATATGCCGATGTACGTCAAGAGATAAGTCGAAAACTACGGCGCATGGGGCGGAAAGACTTCGCGGATAATAGTTTGGAATGAATTGGTTGGGCAACAGCACCCAAATTTGGACCAGCAAATTGGCTGACCGATTTGAAATGTCGTTGTGAAGTATTATCGACTAAAGAAAGATAAGAAATACCGGCAGCAGAAGAGAGCACTCGAAAGACCCGTTTAATGATTGGCAGATCTTTTTGTGCAAATGAGGAAAAATGACAGCACAACAAAAGGAATACGAGGGAGAATGCAGGCCTTTATAATTCGCTAGATTAGGTGTTAAAGTGTGTGGTAGGAGCAGAAACGACGAATGTAGTAAAGACGTTAATGAATTTTAATATACCGGGTCTCATTATAAAGAATAAGTGAAGGATTTGATGACAAAGCAACTCCAAGTTACTTAAAAGAGGAAAGTTCGTTGAGAAGGACGTCGAAGCACTCATACTAGGATAGGGAGATAATTTTCCTGCGACTATACTGAGGCATGTTCCAGACCATCCTTTAGAGACGGGAGATGTGTTCAATTTTCAGAAAGGTGTCCAACAACCACACTGCCGGCATACTAAACTAATAGACAGTTTTTTTGAGGATCGCAGGTCATCAGTGTGGAGGGAGAGAAAACGTGGGAGTATAATGGAACCTTGGAGAACTCCGCAAGCATTGGAAAAGACCGCAGACTTCCGCTTGTCGGACTAGACAAATTGAATACGCAAAGTAAAATTATCGCCAAACCAAGAGACAACCCAGCCCGGTGGGCCGCACGCGAATGCTTTGGGAAGGCAAAAGTAACGCGGAATGGTATTGAAGTCGGAGCAGTTGGCAAGAAACGCACATGCATACTGGCGACAAACCCTATCCAAAGTACTACGTTTGACTTTATATGCAAATTGTACAGGATCGGAAAAACTGGAAGAGAATGGCGCTGTAATATCCAGGACAAACATAAAACCTTCTGTATGTCGTCAGCTTAATCCTCTAGTAAAGTCAAATATATTGAGATAGCGCGCGAGAGAGCTGCAATAGGAACAATGGGTCTGACGGCCCAGATACTTATTGACAAACGTTAAATAAATTTGCACAATTAGTATATGCACGTCTACTTTGCCTGAGCTCGGTGTTACCAGTCTACTGTTTTTCTATAAATAAATATACCAACCAGTGCGTACTGTGAGACAACTGCGACATTTCATGCACTGAAGGCCACAGGATGAAGGTCCGAAGACAATTTAAATGTTTCCATAGAACATGTGCGCAACACTGCGAACTACCTGTTTTTGATTGAGCTGTCAAATGTTGAATTTGTGGTCAAAATTGCTCGGCGACATTGACAGCTAAAGTTGAGGTTATTGTCTGTGATATGGCGATGCCCGTTACGTTTTTAGTTAAACTCTATTTGGATTGACATCAGAGTCATATGAAAAAAATCCTCCAATAAAGCAAACATCCACTTATATCCCTTTGCTAAACTCGGGTTTAGATTACAGAGACTAAATTTGTTGACTTAGTCTGCAGGAGTTGAAAAGTTATCCGGACTTTGCAAGTAAAGTAAGCCAAATGAGAATTCTGACGGCCTTAATGGATAAGTTGTCGAAGATAAAATCGAATGGGGAAACGCAAGCTTTCGGTCGCGAAATAGGGTTGGTTTACGGGCTTGAGTTAAGGTCAGACTGAATAGTGAGTTTAGGGTTAGGGATTGTGTCAAGTGTAAGGTTTTCGCTAAGAGTTAAGGCCTGTATTGCGGTTTAGGTTTACGCCTAGTGTTAAGGTAAGTGCTAGTATTAGGGTTAGCGTTACGGTTAACACTAGGGTGAGGTTTTAGGCTACGGTTAGTGCTATGGTTAGAGTTTGAATTAGGCGTAGAGTTTGTGGTAGGCTTAAAATTAGGGTTATAACAAAATTAAAGATTAAGTTTAATTTTTATTGGTAAGGGTTAGGCTTAACGTTGATTTTGTGATATTTCTGCCCCTCGTGTCCTGTCAGCAAGGTCTTTTGCGGGCACATTTGTCATACACTAGGTGGCCTTTTCCGTTGCAGCCTCGGCTTCGTTTCCCACTAAAGATTTCAATATCACCTTTCAACTTACCTTAATTTCAGTGTTGACATTGCGCGTATACAGTTTGTGACCTATATGATGAAATGTCACGCATTGTGAACTTGAATCGCCGTAGCGCAGGTTACTGCCACCCTGAATCCACGAAAGTTATACTGCGTTAAATATACGATCGAGCTTCAAAAACAGGCATGTTTTGGTTTATAAAGTATCATTTATTGGGTAAAAATTACCTTTTTAAAGGATAAACCACCAAATTAGTAAATAGACTGCGTGACAGGCCAACTATTCAGGGCATAATATAGCTGCCAGCAGAGAAGGGAAATTTAACAAAACCACAAAAAATGTAAAACATGAACAAATAGAACGTGTTCGTTTTTTATTGATTGTCCTTTAGCTTTTAACGTTGCTGTTAGCGGGAGGGAATAGAGACTACCAAGTTGTCTATGGTGGTTTGGTGTATGTAATTATTAAGCAAAAACTGTAACTTTCGTTCCATCGAAATATGTTTCCTTGCCTTTTCTCGATTTCTCTTGATTAATGCAAAACTATTTTCGATGGCATTTAGGTTCGACTGTTGGCGGAGATAAAAATACTTCGAAGGCCGCAGGCAGAGAGGCTGACTGTGGTCAAAAACATTAGATTATATCTGTAGACTGAATTGGAATCAAACCTCATTTGAGCGGTGGACAAGGGCATTATCCTGCAGCATTTCAGTGTCCAGTCGACGTCTATGAATGCCCTTGTAGCCGAAGGCATCCCTTTTGATATCAATGAACATCTTGCTATTTATCGTCTCCACTTTTGAACGCCAGATCGGTCGCCCTCCGAATTAGACGGCCACTCAAACCATTAGGTGTCGGCAGTTCTTGAAAGTTGGCGTCGACATAGTGTGCTCTCGTGGAAAGTTCTTGCCACATATGACCACCTGGGCCGAATTCGGAGTCTTGTCTAAAAATAAGACCTCATCACAAAATTAAATGCTCTGGCAGATGGAAATTCTGTGATAAATAAATTTCTGAGCAAACAAAAAACGTTCTCTTATAAGATTTCAAGTTAAAAATGGCTTTGTCATAGCGTTTTGCTGATGGATACCGAACTCTTTCGTTCTTTCTCTAATTATGCACATAGAAAACCTTCATAGCTGTTTCCTTTAAAAAACCTTAAGGGGCATATAATGATACATTTTAAGTGCCTGACGAATGAAATCGTCGTGTTGCCTGCCTGTGGACCGTTTCGGCTCACCTTGCCTAGCTTTAGGCATTTTTTTATTATTAATAATTCTCCAAAGAGTTACCTGGTTAATGTTGAAAATACTAGCTAACGACTCATGCGGCAGCCCTTCGGCTGCCAATTTTCGTATCCGCCCAAAGTGAACTTCCGACAGGAACTGGTTTGACATCTGTGCTGCACGGCGCGACGAAGACAAGTTGTAGCATATAGCGCGCAATCTATTTATGTGTTTACGCCTACTAGTTCCCGGTGTAGTAAAAGGAACACAATAGAGCAAGCTTATTATTGCGTTTAGCGATATAAAACATTACATTTTTGCTAAATAGAATTTAAAAAGAACAAACTACTTCTTGATTCATGAGAATAAAATCTTTTTAAATACTTGATTCGACCTGATTTTCATGAACTGAATATCACAATTTTCATTTCCAGAGTGGCC